TCTGACCTCTGACATGGGGGTCCTTCTAGGATAAGAAGGCAGACAGACCTACCATCGTCCTGGGACTGACCCTGAAAGGGATGCACATCTATGAGGTGAGGGGCGGAGGAGCGGCCAAGCCCCATCCCGGAAGGGCTGGCACGCCTGCCCCCAGGCTGACCCTGGTGGCCCCCATTCTGCTCTTTACAGGACGTGAACCACACTCCACGGCTGCTCTACGACTTCCCCTGGCCCCACATCGGGAAGCTGGCGTTCCTGGTGCGTGTCTGACGGGGTCGAGGCGGGTGGGGGTCCCAACGCCCGGGAGGCCAGGAGAGCCCGGCAGCAGCTGTCCTTCGGGGCGTTTGCTGGGCGCTCCGTCCTTCAGCAGACCCTTCGCCTCGGGTGCTCGGGCCTGGCCTCTGCAGTGGGGCGTGGAGGTGGCCCTGCCCCGGGACGTGCTGTCCTGCGGGCAACCGACGGCCCTCGGGCTCCCCTGTGGGCAAAACAGAGAGAAATGAGAGGGAAGGCAGAGGCACAGCAGGGCCACCCGCTTCCAGATGCCCTGTCCCTGTAGTTCTCGGGGGGCCAGGCCTGGCACTCTGGGGGTAGGGCAGGGACCGTGGAGGCTGCTGGGCACAGGCTGGCCGTCGGCCCTTTCTCTGGATGGTGATACTGAGGCCTGGGGTTCACCCGGGAACCGTGCGAACCCACCCACAGCACAGGGGCAGTGTCTGGACTCCTCGTAACCGAGTGGGGCGCGCCCTGCTCTACTGCGCCCCTAAGCCCCCCCGCACGCGGAATAGAATTGCCAGCAGCAGCAGTGGCCACTGCCCAGGGTGCGGTTCAGCCAAGGGTCTGAAGTGCTCCGTCTCGTCTGGGGTCCTGTAAGATCTCATCTTCGCTTTCTCCAGGGGAAGAGGTTCGAGATCCGGCCGGCTGGGCCGCCCTCGGCCAGGAAGCTGGTCTACTACACGGGCTGTGCCTCCCGCTCCCGCCACCTGCTGCGCCTGCTCAGCGCCAGCCACCAGCTGCGCCTGAGGCTGCAGCCCCTGCTGGGGCAGCTACGGCGGCTGGAGGAGGCGCAAGGTGGGCCCCGCCCAAGGCCTGGGCACGCGTCGCCTTCCCGCCTACCCGGGGCGCGGCCTCCTGGCACCCCCGTCCCCTCGGGTGGCCCGATTCCGGGCATGGTGGTGACCCACCCTCCCAGCTCCCCGGGAGCCCAGTTCTAAAGGTGGGGCCCGTGGGGCCGGTGGGTTCTGGGGGAGAATTCCCCAGGTGCCCCAGGAGGGCCAAGGGGGTGTGTGAGCGTGTGTGTGTCCCTGTGCATGTGCACACGCCTGTTTGTATGTGTGGTTGCTTCGTGGTCCCTGACATTGAGAATGATGTGAGCACCCAAGGGTGTTATGTGGGTTTACCGGCTATCACCATGGACAGGCAGAGCCCTCACCTCTGGGGATACTTTCCCCCACACGCTGCATCTCCCGGGGCCTGGAAGCCAGCTCAGGACCCCAGGGCCACCCCTGGCCGCTCATGGCTCCAGGAATGTGGTGGAACCTCTGTGTCCAGCGTGCTTACGTTGGCCGTCCCCCCCGTCTCTCCCTGTGCAGAAAAGAAGTGCCACCGGGAGACTTACATTAGCGACTCACTGGACCAGAACCCAGTGGGCAGTGGCCGGCCCCCCCCCCGCCGCCTCTCACTCCTCTCGGCCAACAGCCACGGCAGCTCCCGCCTGTCAGGCTTGGAGCCCGGGGAGATGTCCGTGGATGAGCCCTTCGGGGCCACGGCACTCCACGGGGACATGGTGTCCTGCAGCTCCAGCCCCAGCCAGAGCAGCGGAGACACAGCGGGTGGCAGTAGAGGCCAGCCCAAGGGGGGCATCCAGGACCTCGGGGACGGTGAGTGTGCGAGCACCAGCCCCCGGCTGTAGCGCTGTGGGCGCCAAGGTAGGAGTATCACCCCCGAGAGGGGCAGGGGACCATGGTTCCTGGTTCCTGACGAGGCTCAGAGGCAGGATGGCGTCCCCGCTGGGAGGGGGGTGGAGGTGACCTCCATGCGGCTGACCGCAGGAGGCCCTGGACCTACAGGAAGCCCAGCCGGCCCACGTCCCTCCTGCAGGACTGGCCACCAGAAGCGTTTCAGCCAGATTGCTCGTTACACTTGTACTGATTTCAGTAAAAGTCCCGCAACAAGTGGAGGCGGCCGCAGTCGGCCACAGACACAGTTGGCCATGGCCCCGGCAGGAACCGTCGGACCAACAGCCTAGCGTGTGCTCCCTGCGCTCAGGGACACTTCCACAGTTGGCCTGGGGCGTGGGGCCCTGAAGTGGCCTCCTAGTCACCCCTGTTCTCTGACTGTGTGCACCCAGGGTGGGGGGAGGCTGGGACCCTGCCTGGTTTCCTGCAGATGGACAGCTGGGTGGCCCGGGTCCCCAGGCAGCCTAAGAAGGGGGGCATTGGGATGGGTCCTGTTTCCAAGGGCAGGACCCATCCCAATGCCTGAGCGAAGAACCCGTCTTGCCCAAAGCATGCCCCATGGAAATCCCAGCTCAAAGGGACTCAGACACCTCACGTGGGGGCCCACGTGATTCCGTCTATGACTGCAGGTGACCTTGAGCCCACTACCGCCCTGCGAGTGGTAGGCCAGGGTCACTGCCAAGGTCACAGCCCACAATTCTGCAGCCCCGGGAGGCTCCAGCCCCATCTCAGGGTCCCCAGGGGAGAACTCACAACACAGGGTGGGCAGCCGTCCTCAGGGTGCTGAAGTTGTCCCCCCGCCCATGCCCCCTCCCTTCCTTGCAGCCTCTCACCCCCGGGAGCCCTTGGCGGTGGTACAGGTCACACTGGTGAAGATGAGGGGCTGGAGCGCCGAGGCCCTGCACCAGGTACGTCCCTGCTGGGGCCCAGCTCCAACACCAATTCTCCCAGCCCCCCTCATTGGGGCCCACCATCTGCCTCAGACCACAGGAGGGTCCCTGGGCAGAGACCCCCGGACCTGGAGCCGGGCAGTGGGGGGAGGGACAAGGCAGGTCGGGGGCTGGTTCTCCTTGGCCCCAGTGCCTAAGTGAGCACCCGGCTTGCAGCGTGGGGTCCTGCCTGCTGTGTGCTCACAGTGTGGCCGTGTCTGCCTCCCCCACCCAGGGTCCTGGGCTGTGAGTCCTGATGGATGCAGGGTTGGGGGTAGGAGGAGAGGGGCCAAAGCCTGGGGTTCTGGATACCGAGGCAGAGGAGAGGTGGGCGGGGGGCTCCAGGCCTGGCTGGGAGCTGACCTGGGAGTGAGGCCCCTGGAAGAAGGGAAGGACTGAGCTAGACGTAGAGGGAGAGAGAAGCCTGCCAGAGCCCTGGGCGGGGTCAGCCCCATGTGGCCCAGGGTCTCATGGTCAGACACCGCATACTGGGTGGGTGGCCCCCTCTGTGGTGGTCCCCCAACCAGGGCTCCATGGCTGAGAATAATTCAGTTGGGGGGCACTCAGCAGGACCCCAACCTGAATGGGACCATGGCCAGCTTAGAGCCAGGCCCTAGACACAGTTCCTCACACGTGAAGGGGGCGCCGTTCTTGACTCCCAAGATTCTTCCAGATCTTACTCCTAAAATCGATCAAATGTCTCTAGTGACAATGTAGGTCCGATGAGCTCTAAAGAAAAAAACAGCCAGGGCCCCAGTCCCCTCCAAACAGGCAGTGGGCTCTGTCCTTGGGGAGGGGTGTCGGGTTCCCCATGGGACACCAGCTCCCTCCCGAGTGGGAACTCCCTCCCCTGTGGGTCCTTCCCCGACAGGACAGGAATGGGAGGGGCCCATGAGGAGACCGGTCACTCACCTGCTGCCCTGGGCCTGTGCCCTGCACGTCAGGAGCTTGCCTGGCCTGGCCTGGCAAGGATGGGACAGTCCGGGTAGAGGGTCCACTCAATAGTGTCCCGGAGGGAATATTCCCAGCAGGACACAGTGGGGAGCCTGGAGGTCAGGGGGGCGGTGGGGTGGCCGCGTGAGCATGGGACAGCAACCCAAGGGAGCCGAGCCCAGGGGCGCAGGGGCCTGCCAAGAGGTCAGCATTAGGCGTGGTGGGGACAGATTTGGAGGGGTCGGCCTTGGACCACCTGGCGGAGCTCTGTGACCAAAGCTGCAAGCTGGAGAGGAAGCGACTGCAGGACACACCTCTGGTCTCTCCCCACAGATCCCCGGGGCGACCTCCCTGCACGCAGACCAGCACAGCCGCAGCCTGGACGACAGGCGTCCGCGCCCCGCCCCGCGCTCTGCCCGGCGCCCTGTGCCCGCCCCGCGCAGCTGCCCCCTCCGTGGAAGCAGGTCCACGAACTGCCTCACTCTGGAGAACCCGCTCGCGCAGGAGTTCGTGGTGTAAGCCCCCGAGGCGTGGCTCGGTCCACACTGCAGGCTCCGCCCGCTCTGCACGACCCCATCCACGGGGGGCTCCATCTACACTGACAGGTCCGTGCACGTCATGAGGCTCTGTCCACGCAGGGCTCAGTCTACACTGCACGCTTCTGCCCAGGAGGGGCTCAGGCCAAGGTGCAGCGTCTGCTCACAGTGGACGGCTCCGCCCACAACGGGCTCCACCCGTGACAGTCATGCTCACGCAGCACAGCTCAGTCCACGAGTCCACTCGGTGTGGCTCTGCCATGTCCTGCCAGCCTCCTGGGTCCGGAGAGTCTCCGACCCTGTTCAGTGCTGGAGGCAGAGCCTTAGCCTGGTGCCTGGTTGACCGAGGCCTCAGGCGCTGTCCCCTCAACCCGGGGCACTTTGCGTCTTCACCTGTCAGAGGTGTGAAACCAACCCTGCAGTCAGTGCTGGAGGAGAAGAGCAGGCCGGAGCCCCTCCATTTGGGCATCCAGTCTGAGGCCAGTGGGGAGCTGGGCTTCAAACAGAGGAGAGACCCTGAGGTTCCCTCTGCCACCAATCTGCATGGAGGGTCAACAGCACACTGGCCTTCTGGGAGTCCTTGAGCTCCAGGTCATTGTCAAAGCTTCCCGAGACCACTCTCTGCAGTTCCTGTCGCTCAGAGCCTCCGGCCCAGGGATGGAAGCCCCTCTGTGAGGGGTGGGGGTGGTGCTGGGAGGTTCACGTGCAAGGGCGGGCCCCTCGGTCCCTTCTGTGAAAGGACACTGTGAGTACATACCAGGCCTGTGTAATAAAGACCTGAACACACACCTGTGTGCACCTGGCCAGCCTGCGCTGGGGGGGCGGGGGCTGGGCGGCAGGGCCACACCGATACAAACGCATCCACTTAGGCTTCACCCTGTGAACCACCGCTGTGTCCAAGTGCTGCATGGACAGAGGACACGGAGGGAAGACCAGCCCGTGCCCCATGGAGCTCAAAGTTATCTAGTTTGCAACGAGAAACCAAATTCGCCCTGGCCGGTGTGGCTCAGTTGGTTGAGTCGTCCTATGCACCAGGGGGCGCCAGTTCGATTCCAGGGCAGGGCACAGGCCTGGGTTGTGGGCTCGGTCCCCAGTAGGGGGCGTGCAGGAGGCAGCCCATCGATGATTGTCTGTCTCCCTCTGCCTTCCTCTCTCTAAAATCAATAAAAACATGTTTGAAAGAAAGGAAGCAGCCACCTTTACCTGTGTTCTGGGCGGACAGGCGGCACTGCGTGGGGACGGGCCCAGCAGGGAGGGCCAGGGCTCAAGGTGGACTTGGCCCAGTCTTTCCCTCATTACACAGATGTCACTGAGGCAGGTCAGGTGCCAGCTCTGGGTAGGCAGATCCTAGACAGCACGGCGCGGGTGAGGGCCAGGGTCAGCATGGTGGCGTGGGCCTGCTGGGCTGCCGGGCAGGGCCTGGTGCAGGAGGTGTCCATGTGCCCAGTGGGGCTGCCCAGGCCCGGGCCACCGAAAGCATCAGGCCTGCAGCCACAGGGCAACAGGGTGAGGGAGCTCGGCAGCCGGGTCGGGGCCCTGAAGGACGCTATGGGGGCATCCACAGCTGCGTGGGCCTGAGCCCTGCTTTCTGGTGACTTTTCAGCCACATAAGACCCGTCCCCATAGTAAGACACAAGGCTCTGATCTGAGGCCTGTGACTTGCCTTTTCCTTTAAAGACAATTTTGGGCACAAGAGCCCAGCACGCCGGGGCTTTGCTGGGGCAGAAAGGAGCCGCTGTTGCCAGGACCTGCGCACGCCCGTGTGCACAGGCACACATGCGGCTTGGGGAGTCTCACGGAACCACACCCACGCCCACCCTGTCCCGCCGCTGAGCTTTCCCCCCACCGCGCCTGTCCCTTGCTGCCAGAAGAGGGCGCTGGCCGCACGGGGCTGGGCCTGGTGCCTGCGCTGCCAGCAGGGCCTGGGCATGCGGGCAGGCGGGGCTGGCCCTGTAAGGGCAGGGCCCTGGCTGCTCAGGTTTCTGACCCGCCTTTCTCGGTGCAGGTCGGAGCCTCACATGTGGGCTGCGCTCTCCCCGGTCATTCCTAATCCAACCACCCCTCACTGTGGCCAGCGCCAAGGACAGCCGGAGGCTGGGGACAGCGCCCTGTGTCCTCAGCAGATGTGAGGAGCAGGGACCACTGGCTGACCCCGAGAAACCACTGCTGGGGTCCTATTTCTGTCCTTCCCCTGGGCCTGTGGACGGACGTGGGGAATTAGGCCAAGTGTCCGTTAACCACCCGGTAATCTCTGGTTGTCAGGCCGGGTGGGAAGACAATCAGAGGCAAGAGGGGCCTTGGCCATGGTCCCTAACCCCTCCCACGCGCCTCCCTGACGTCCCAACCCACCCGGAGGAGAGGCCAGTCACCCTCAGAGGGCAGAGGCTCCTGGGAACCTCAGGGAGAGCTGCTCTTCCTTTGTGTGAATTAGGACCAAAGGTCTTGTAGACAAAACAGGCATTTCCCAGGAAACTGGGTCTGAGCCGGCAGGGAACGGGTGGTGTGTGAGGGCAGGGCAGGGCCGCTCGCCGCACTCCGAGGGGGGTGGCCGCTGGGTGATGAGGCCATGCCCCCAGGCTGGGGTGCACAGGGCAAAGCCCACCCATCTCCCTCACACGTGTCAGTGTGGCTGAAGGAAGGCCGCCCGGGTCCCTCTGGATTCCAAGAAGCGGGCTGAGGAAAGTGTGGGCCGAAATGACCACCAGCCGCCTAGCCTGGCTGGCCAGGTTTGGACAGAGGTCAGAGGTCAACCTAGTGGTTCTAAATTCAGGGAACCCCCCCCCCAGGGCAAGTTTAGCACCTATTCCTGGGCCAACCATGGGCTCTCTGAGGCCTGGGGACCTGTCCTCGAAGACCTGCTGCGGCTGCTCCCTGCTGGGATGCGGGACTCAACAAGGCGGCCCCGTGGCAGTTCTATTTGATGCAAGCTGCCAGGGCAACCCGGTGTGGGGGTGGGGGTGCCCCCAGGACACTCCCTGTGTCCCAGTCACGGGCCCTGGGGTCCAGAGCGCACCTTGGACAAGTCACCTCGTTCTGTGAACTCGCCTTCCCACGCCCTGTGGGCTGTGTCACCAGCCTAACCACCCTTGTGAGAGAGACTCGGGACAGCTTTCTCCAGCAAAGCCGGCCACCCTACCAGCTGCGCGCTTTGAGAGTGGCTGATGGAGACAGTTCTCACCCAGAAACCCAGGCGCAGGCCACTCCCCAGCCCAGTAGCCAGAGTGTCCCCGCGGTGGCCTGGGGACTCTGAGGAGACAGCTCCTCATCCCACCGACGGGAGCAGAGTGACAGGAGTCCCAGGAGCATTCAGCTCCGAGGCCCATCCTTGCGCTCGTTGCGTTACAGGGTTTTGTGAAATTCTCAAAATGAAGCCATTTTTAACCAGCAGTGGTTGAGACCCACTACCTCCATCAGCCTCACTCTCCCCCTCTGCCTGGTCCCGGGTGGAGGGGAGCCCGTGGGTCTGCTGCAGTCCAGCCTCGGGGGGCATTTAGGTCGGGTTGGTGGGGGTGTCCACGAGGTTCCCAGACACGGGACGCAGTGGCTTCCAGGAGGAGCCCCGTGGCCACCAGCTCGCCCTGTCCTGTTGGGACCACGTGTACAGAGGAGGACACGGGGCCGTGGGGCAACGTAACTTGTCTGGGGACACGGAGCCGCCACGAGGATCCAGGTCTGGTTCCAGACCCTGACCTCACACCCGGGAGCTTGGCCTGGTCTGTGCCTTCGAGAGCTGGCATCCCGGGCTCTGCGTGGCGCTTCCCCTGCCCCGGACGGCACAGCTCCGAGCCGCTCCCTGAGGACCTGCCCACCCGGGGCTCCTCGGTGACTCGACCACCACGGCCGAGCTCGCGCTCGGGCTCCTGCCAATGTTTTTGGCTCTTATCAAGTCCAAAGTAAATGAGTTTAATTTTAGGGCACGAACATCGCATAGGCGTGGCAGGAAACACATTTAAGGGAGGGAGCCCAGGAGCACGTCCGACCACCGCCCTCACCTGGGCCTCCTGCGGGCGGGGCGGCCCCGCTGCACCTGCCGCTCCACCTGCCGCGCGCGGGCCCCGAAGCCCAGGCTCTGCAGCGTCTCTGCCACGTGCTGCTCGCCGGGGGACACGCAGACAATCACCAGCAGCTTGGCGTCTCCTCCTTTAGAGAGAGAAGTGGAAACGTGCCTTTGGAGGAAGGAATTCCAAGGGGAAAGTCGTCTCTGGAGCACAGCAGAGGCCAGGCAGCCATGGGAGAGGCAGCCTGGTGGGGTCGGCCTCCGGTGGGCTGCAGGGCCCAGGTGCCCAGGTGCCCAGGTGCCCAGGTGCCCCGGGAGCAACAGCCTCCTCCCTCCACCAGCCTGCAGCAGGCAGGACACCAGTCGTGAGGTGCCCCTGGTGAGAGCGGGGTCCATGCGAATGCTCCCTCCTGCTGCCCGGGGAGGGGACACCCAGGCTTCTCCTTTGTCTGAAGGACCAACAGGGAGGGTGAGCAGCGTGGGAGGCAGAGGAGGCCAGGGAAGGAAGGAGCTGAGGGACCGGGAGGGAAGCACCCACAGCCGCGAGAGAGGAAGGCTCCCGCAAAGTCCCACACTCCTTCCTTGGGGGGCACTGGCCCTGGGGATCAGAGCACCAGGGTGGGGGGGTCTGTCAGGGGCACAAGTCATAAAATGTAAAACCGGGAACCTGCTCCCCTCAGCCCCGGGGATGAGCTGCAGCTCAGGACAGAGCACCCCCGCCCCACGTTTGGGTCCTGTCCCCTCCCCCATGCAGTCCCCTGAAGAAGCTGGCTGGCCACGAACAGGCCACATCAACCTGCCCAGAGAGTGCAGGCGAGGTAGCTAACCCAGTGCCAGGAATATCGAAGAGGGGCCACTGACCTGAGAGCCAGGAGTCCCCACGGAGGAGCTCACTCCCCCCTCCAGGAGACGTATCGGGGACACTGCTTACCGAGAGCGTCCTGTAGCAGGTGGGTAAGCTTGCTGTTCCGATAGGGGACGTGGCCTCTGCGCTCCGCCAGGGCGCCCAGGACGTCTGCGAGGGCCGCCAGGCTCCGGTTGATGAAGGATGTCTCCCTCAGGGCCGGTCCTCTCACTCCAGACACACCTGGACAGACGGAGACCACCACGCACAGTGAGGGTCAGACCAAAGCCTTGGGAGACATAAACCAGAAAAGCAAAACAGGGGCTCCCAGGAAGAGAGCCCTCGGAGTTCCTCCTGGGACAGCACGCGGCCGGGGGGACCTTCCTCACGGTCCTGTCCCGAAAACTCACACAGCTGCCCACAGGAGCTGCTCTTATGGAAAACCGATGGCCTTCGTTCCTGGACTGACCCAGACAGTCGCAGTGGTGAGGGATTTGAAGGTCACCGGGGAGGGGACCCCATGCTCAGGACCTGCGGTGGCTGCTCACTGGGCTCTGCCAGGACTCCACAGTCCAGCTCCTCCAGGGGAAGCTCCACGCCCTCAACAAAGCCGGTCACTCACCTGCGCACTCGCTGCCCGCCAGGTCCACCAGCTGCAGCTTGGCGCGCACCTGCCCTGTGTGCCGGGCGGGGCTCTCAGGCGGGGCCCCCGGGGACCTGGCCGAAGCTCTTCGGGAAGGACTCTGTCTCCTCCCGGTCGCGGGCAGCTGGGGCGAGGGGCATTCGGGCTCCCGGGGCAGTGATGGACTTGACCGTGGCTCTGCTGCAAGGACAGAGACAGAAGGTGTTCCGGAAGCTTCCCTTCCCTTCCGCCTGTGCGGAGCGCTCTGAACTCCACCCCGAAGGCTGCACCCCACACAGACGGAGACAGGCTCTCACACCGCCGGGCCGGGCCGAGGGGCAGCGAGCGGCTTCTCGGGAAGAGAAAGGCACTTTCTCTGTGGAAAGTGGAGCCAACGCCTAACTGGCACCAAGAACGTCGGGTGAGGTTTCTTAGGAAGGTTTGGTAATGACACGAGTTACAATCCCACCCAGAAAATCCATTTGCCTTTATAGAAATAAACTCTACAACTTCTGCTTGACAATCCACAAAACCCTGACAAAGTCCTTCATTTCATAGAGATGTCGGTTTCTTCATGTGCCATTTCTGAACAGACCATTCAAAAAACTTTTTAAGCCGGCAGCGTGGCCCAGCGGTGGAGCATCGACCTGGGATCCAGGAGGTCGGGGTTCGATTCCCGGTCAGGGCACAGGCCCGGGGTGTGGGCTCCTTGATCCCCAGCAGGGGGCGTGCGGGAGGCAGCCGATCAATGACTCTCATCATTGACGTTTCCATCTCTCTCTCTCCCTTCCTCTCTCTGAAATCAATAAAAACCTAATCTTTAAAAAAAGCTTTTTAAAAAGCCTAAATTGTGCATAGTCACCGTGGGAAACAGCTGGTCCCCATCACCTGTGAGCGGCCAGCGCTCTCGGTGTGGATACTGACCGTGGGGCACCGCAGGTCAGGCTCCTGGCACAGCGGGTGTCCACACCCCACTGCCCAGACCCTGCAGGCGAGGCCGGCCCTGCGACCACCTAGGGCAGCTCTGGGCTGGCTGGAGGGCGGCTAGTGATCCCGTGTCACCCTCCCCTCTCCCTCCCCTGCGGGGCCACTTCGAGGCCTTGTGACAAGATGTGTCAGGAGCATCCAACTCTCGCTGGCCTGTGACCGAGTGAGACCCCTCAGACCGGGCTTCTGTGTTGCCGCAGGAAGCTGGGGCCCAGCCCAGCCCTGGCCCTGCAGCCTGGGGCTCACAGGCCCTGCAGGCGAGCTGCGGACACCGCCCTAGGCTCTGCTGACCGACGAAGACTCACAGACCCTGCCGACGTGCGCCTAACTGGCCAAATTTTATAAAAGTGCTGGCTCCTCACTTTCTAGGCTGAAACCGCCTCTTAGTTTCTTTCCCGGTGAACGAATCGGCTGCCCGGAAGCAAACGGGCCCCACCTCCCTCCTGTGCTGGGTCTCACTTAACAGGGAGTTTTCCTCGCTCCCACCCCCAGTGTCCCTTTCTTCCAGGCCTCGGAGCCAGTGGCCTCTGGGGTTGGGTTCCAGACCCTCCAAAGATGCGGCTGCTGTTCCCACCCTTGGGTGCTGCGTGAGACCTCGGACCCGCATGACTTCTGTCACGTGCCGCTGACCGGGCACCAACGGCCACTTACGCGTGTTGTCCCCGGAGGCGGCTGCGGTGAGAGTGACGGTGACTATCAGGTGAGAGCGAGAAGAATCCCCGTGCACCGAGGTTGGGCGCCTCGCCCTGAGCTGCAGGCCTGCACCCACCAGCTCCATCAACTCCCCTGCGCTCCAGACAGGCCTGCGGGGGCGACAGGCACAAATCTTACAGCAGAGAAAACACTGAAAACGCAAACCTGTGACTTCTGTTGGCATCTGCCCGACTGCTTTCCCCTGAAATAACGAATTGCTTGAAACCAACCAGAGTCCCCCCCTTCTCGACACCGAGCATTCTTTTATTTGTGATGCACTCAAGGACCCAAGGCCTTAAAATATTTTGTCTATCAAATCAAGTTTATAAAATAAATTTATTTCTGCTCTTTAATGAATGAGCTGGGACCGCTGATCAGAACGTCTCATCTGCAGGAGGCTTTTTGGTGAGAGTCTGGTAGCAGAAAGCTGAACGCCGGTCACCTGGCCGAAGGTGTCATGGTCGAGGGCGCGGTTTCCTCTGGGCTTTTTCAGAGGTTAGATGTAGCTGGAGGCCCCTCGGCCCCCAGCTCTGAGACCCCAGGACCAGTGGCCCTGCCCCAGGCGTATCCGTGAGGGAGAGGCTCCTGCATCGCCCGTCTGGGTTAATCTCGTCACGAGCAAACCAGACACGAGAACGTGGACTGACGGGCCCACAGCTTGGGCGCGTTTACCCGACACGAGTGCCCCGCTCCCTCCTGTGCTCCATACACCTGCTGCTCGCAGTGCGGCCCCGGGCCCTCGGGTCACAGCTGCGCGGCCTTGGGCGGTTACTGAGCCTCTCTGAGCCCGTCTCTCATCCGTGACACGGGATCGACCTGCGCCATCAGCTCCTAACGGCTGACTCATCAGTTTGTTTGTTTGTTGTAATTGTGATTTTAAAACATAACTCAATAGCACATTGGAAATTTAAAACATAATTCAATAGCATGTACTAAGCACGAAATGCTCAACGGGCCATCTCTGTGATAACAGGGCTGATTCTGTGCCTCGGTCGGCGTGCAGGTCGCTGTCCCCACGCGCTCGGCTCGTGTGGACGGGGCCCGGGAAGTACTCACACGCAGGTCAGCGGGGACACCTCCTTTCTCCCCTCCTTGGTGGTCAGCACCTCGCGCCGGACCCCGGACGTGGCTGTGCAGCTGTCTTTGGCCAGAAGGTCAAAAATGTCGTTGTTGTAAACCTCCATGACCGAGACCTCGACCTTGGGGCTCTCGGGCAGATTTTCTGAAATAAGCCTGGTGGAGGGGGATGGGTGACACGTGAGGCGAAACCACCAGGGGAACCGAGAAAACCCTCAGAAAGGGGTAAACGAATGGCTCCAGTGAGGCTCGCTCATGCTCCCGGAAAGCTCAGGACCCCCGGGTACAGGGCCATGTCGACGTCACGCTCAAGCAGGAGGAGGCCTGGCCCGTGTGGCTCAGTGGTTGGGCGTCATCCATGCACCAAAAGGTCGCTGGTTCGAGTCCCAGTCAGGCACACGCCCGGGTTGCTGCTCGATCCCCAGGCGGGGCGGGCGGGAGGCAGCCGATCACGTCCAGCTCTCACATTGTTTATATTTTTTTTGTATCTTTTTATTGATTTCAGAGAGAGGAAGGGAGAGGAAGAGAGATAGAAACATCAGTGATGAGAGAGTCATTGATCGAGCCCGCAACCCGGGCCTGTGCCCTGACCGGGAATCGAACCCCGATCGCCTGGGTCCTAGGTCGACGCTCAACCGCTGAGCCACGCCGGCCGGGCCCGGCTCTCACACTGACGCTCCTCTCTCCCCTCCCCCTTTCCTCTCTAACAAAATCAATAAAAATACTTAAAAATTAAAAAAAAAAAAATCCCACAGGAGGAAGGGAAACTCAGCTTTAAACTGTAGAGAAAGTAAGTGCCTGGGAGCAAGGCTGCTGTACCCGAGTTGCATCTAAATCAACCCGTTTATCCATCGGCCCCCTCGGGGTCCCGAGCCCGGCAGACGGAAGCGTGAAGGCCGCGGCCCTGACTCGGCCGCCCCGGCCCCCGCGGTGCTCCGGGGCCTGCGCCCAGGCCACAGCCAGCTGGGAGTCGGCAGCGCCTCCCCAGCAACGCGGCTTCTTTATTTGAAAATCTGTTCCGTTCCGGAAGACCGCGCCCCCAGCCCTTCAGTCAGCGCCCCGAGCGCCTGCCCCCAAGCCCCGCCGTGACCCCGAGCCTCCCGGGCTCCGAGAGACAACTACTCATTTATTCTGGTTCCTCTTTAAAGTGCTATGTGCTGACTGCAGAGGGTTTAAAAATAGAGATACTGAGCAGTTAGAGAAAAACCCCACAGCCCGGGCCAAGGGCGGGGCGACCGCAGCCGGTCCCCTCCCTGCCGCCCTCCGCTCCCGTCCCTGCTTTGTCCCTTTGGCCAATCCGATTTCGGCTCGTGTCCACCCAGATGTCCGGGCACTGGCTGGAAGGCCAGCGGGCGGGGGTGTCTGTGCTTGAGGAAAACAGAGCCTGCGGGTCCAGCGTGTCCTCAGGGTGACAGGAGAGCCATGGACAAAACGAGTGGTGAACGTCCGCTAATGACCAGCAGTTAGGGAATCTGGAGGAGCCTGGCCGGCGCGGCTCGGTGGCTCGGTGGCTCGGGCGTCCCCGTCACCGAGAGGTCACAGGTCTGATTCCGGGTCAGGGCACAGGCCGGGGTTTCGGGCTCGGCCCCCAGCAGGGGCCTGCAGGAGGCAGCCCATCAGTGACTCTGACCGTTGATGTTTCT